TTCCGTGAAGCACGATGCAGTGGTGTTTCGCCGCGGTTATCTGGTGTGTTGGGGTTGATGTCGTCCCGTTCAAGTAGTATTTTCATCGCCCCCTCCTGCCCGTTCCAAACAGCTCGATAGAGTGGTGTTTGGCCGTAGATATCTGGTTGGTCAGAGTTGGTTTCATCCCGCCCGAATAGCATTTTCACTACCCCCATGTGCCCATTGTGTGCAGCACTGTGAAGTGGTGTTTCGCCGTAGTCATTTGGTTTGCTAGGGTTGACATCGCCCCGTTCGAGTAGCATCCTCACTACCCCCTTGTGCCCATTCTGTGCAGCACCATGGAGTGGTGTTTCGCCGTGGTTATTTGGTTCGCAGGGGTTGATGTCGATCTGTCCGAGAAGTATCTCCGCCACCCCCTCGTGCCCCTTGTGAGCAGCCCACGCGAAAGCTGTGTTACCTGTGTAGTCTTTTTGGTTGAGATCACATCCTTCCGCCTCTACTAAACTAGATACAATCTCAACAATCCCGAAGACGGATACACAGTGTAGATTACTGAACGGGGAGAGTCCATTGAAATTAACGCCGCGCAAGTGCCGTCTCTGCGCTCTCAAGAGAATTTTACCGGATATGTGGCTATTGTAGCCGTCAAACAGCTTTAGCGCGAGTGATTTCGCGCCGTCTGAAAGGTCTCTTTTTGCGTGGACTCCCCAATACAGAGAAGAGTATTCAAGAAATGGTGTGCCTTGGACATCGGGGGAGGAACTGGCCGAAAGAGCCTTGACCTTCTGGGAATTTAGATAACTTAAGCAGGTCTCTGCCATTTTCGAGTGAACTGCATCAAAAAGTTCGGGATGAGCCCGGAGGTACTCTTGAAGGGTGATGTGGATGAACCGGACGGTGGAAGCCTCCTTGTCTACCGCAACAAGTCCCTGACAGGAGGCTAACACTGTCCCTATGGAAGGAACATTGTCGGTATTGAGATCCAGCGACCCAATTTCAACTGCTAGGGCGTGACACAGTTCATCGGGCTTCAAGGGCCGCTCCGAGTGAGAGGTCCACATCAAAGTTGACATGCCAAGTTCCGATTTCTGCCCGCCTTGTCCCTTTATCCGACTCACCGTTGCACTATAAACATCCTCCAACCCCAGGCCATCAGCCATTGCACTCAGCTTTTGTCGCCTGCGATAGACTGTGGCTTCTTGCAGGACCGCATCGATATTCAGCGAGACTAGCAGGAATCTAGTTATGTATCTGTTAGTGAATAACTTGGGGTGGGTTCCCGGTGTTGTTGTGCATACATTTCTGAGACATCTTCTGGAATTTTCCTCAGAATGTCTGCCTCCAGGCTACTGTCCATCGCATCCGGGTTTGTGTCCTCGGCCAGCCTGGTTTGAAGAAATCTGATGATATCATCTCTCCTGGGACTTATCGATATGCTTGTTACTCTTCCGGCAAGACCCCTTCCGATCTCCAGTTGGATGTGCTGTCCCCCGGCCACGAAGATTCGGGTGGCAGGAGACCTCTGAAGGACTTGGCTTAGCGAATCAAGAATCTTGACTCGATATCTTGCCACGCATTCATCCAGAGCATCGATGCATATGAATGTGCGCTTTTCGGAAGAGGTAGTCTGTAGCATCTTCACAATATCGGCAAGCTGGGGTGCCCGTCCACCAAGGACCTTTTGCTGGTCTCCATGGGCTTGGGTTATTTCCCACGGTACCTCTTCCAGTCCGCTCACAACCTGTCTGAGTAGGGCGCCCAGCATGCTCGTTGGTGACTGCTCCTTCTGAATGGCGTAGTCAAAGTAGAAACAGGCAACGGCGGCATTTTCTCCTTTGGCCCGATCGCACAGGCTATCTATCACCAGTGAGCTAACATGGTAGCTTGTCAGCACTAGCCTTTTCTTCTTCCATACCTCGAAGTTCATCCTTGTTACCTGATAAAAGTCTTGCCAACTCCTGGATCACCGTAACAAAACAAAACTGCCTTATCGGATACACCTCCCCCACTGCCTGCGTACCATCTTCTAAACTCCTCAGTTTTTAGGAGCCATGCGCCTACGTTTTCGACTCGACGGTCTTGAATATCCTGGTGCCGTAACCTAGGATCCAGGGGGGATAGCCAGGCTAGGGTATTAGATCGGTCGTCGGTAGTCGCAAAGTTATTTGTAACAGTCGTGTTAAAAGAGTTGATATTATTACTGTATGATCGGGACATTTTCTGTTTTGCTACTTGGGATATTGTGGATGATGGATGATGGAGTTACTTAGGTTGAGAGCCCTGGGGGCTAAATAAAAGCGGGGTCATTGTGGAACCTCATGAACGCCTAGTACTGGCCAATCAATCTCCCCCGAATTTGTACCCTGCTCTGAGACTACTGCATGGACACAGTAGAGTAAGAGTACTGTACTGTACAGTACTGTATAAGCAACTGGAAGTGCCACACCCCGTTAAGTGTTATCGTGCGGTATAGTAAACTCTTGTACTTGTTCAGTACTGCCACGAACCAAACACTTTCGAGCACTAGCGGTGGGGTCGGCTAGCTTGGTATCTTAATGTTACATACACAAGCATATCAAGTGTAATGAATGAATCTGTGGAAAAACCTGCTCATCGCCTACCTGTACAGAATCATAGTATAACTTTGTTTTCAGTGGTTCCGATACCCGGAAAGCTCCGCCTGCAACCTCGTGCCAGATTCTGGGAGGTTATGGAGCAGGCTTTTTAACACCTGCCAAGAGCCCTTACTAAATTTACAGTACAAGTATCATACTAGAGCTCCGGTACTCGTTTAGCGTAGCGCAGTTGGATTTCATGATAGGTTGCTGTGTTTAACATAATCTACAGTACCCCATCTTTCTAAAGATTGAGGAGCATATTCTTCAGATACGGGTATCATTCGAGGGCTAAGTAGGGATTCAAAGGGGTGCTGAACGCTGATGTATGGTCTGCTATCGCAGCCTAGGATAATCCGATCCAATAGCTGCCACTAAACTAACGAACCGAGGTAGAAGCGTAAATCTTCCCTGAGCAAATCTGAAAGAAGTTAAAAAAGGGGAGGGAACAGCGGACAGAGGGGGCGGGGTAGTGCGCCGGGGATTTGGCGACAAAAAAAATGGTATTATATCGTAATAGTGTGGTTGACTGGCCCGTGTCCTATGTGTGCTGTGGAGTTCAAAATTCCCTTGCCTGGAATGGGGGCGAAGACAATAAAAATAACCACTGTCCCCCTTCCGAGACAGAAAAAAAGAAATCTCTTGAGGGAAAGCTCAACGACATAGCACACGGTCTGGTTGTTCAAGTATCTACTACAGGGCTGCTGGTCACCCCCCTGCTGGTTATCCTCTATTTTGACATCAGATTGACGGCACTCTTAGTATCCTGTGCCCCAGGTGAAAACCCAAATTATCATGATTAGCACAATGTGTGTAGGAAAAACCTAACTCTGGCTTAGTCTGTCCATACGCACTTGCTACACACTAGTGTTATTATCTCCAGGTAGGTAACTCAGGTAGAACTACACTTTCTATGGTTGGTCTATCGCCATCACAGACTGTCACTCATCTAAGTCATTGAGTTCAATGTAGCAATATGCGATCGCTTGGGACGGAGAAGTGGTAATAGAGAATAGTTAAGATTGTTTTTGAATCAAAGAAAACCGATACCATTCGAACTACGAGAAGAATGTAGTTCAGCTATATAGTGAAGTGGTTCAGCCCTGCTATCACCACCTGGATCCCTCAACACTCGCAGTAAAGAATCAAGAGAAACAAAGATCCTCAAAGAAACCATTTAAGAACAACGAAGGGAACAACATATGCTAGTCCTAAATAGGACCAAACTTGAAAGAAGATAGATATCTGGGGGGAGCATTTGAGAGGAAAAAGAAACCTTATACGTACATGCAAGGGGGCAGTCTAGAGGTCTACGGAGCGTAAGATACGATATGATGAGATATAGGAGTATAGTAACTTATCATAAACGTACTAGCCGCGGTTGGCTAGGCTAGTATAACGGAAAAATTTGGATCTCAAAGGAGTTGTGAGTCGGGGGGAGGGTTTACACAAGGCTCCCTGTACTAGTAGAGGGAGAGGAGAAGCCAATCTATGTTTTAAATGCAGTTAACTTCCTGGATTGCGGAAAAGGGCACAGTTGACTGAGATTGGCTCCGCCCCAGTAGCGCGCCTACGCACAATCCTCAAATGCTACTCGTGCCCCATCTTGGCGTCTTTTGTTGAAATATCCTCCAATCTCGGCAATTGGGTAATCTAAAGACCTCTTATAGGAAAACCCAATTTGTCAGCACTTTGCGCAGCACGAACTCCTATAGCAGAAGACAATATTACCTGGGGTAGAATTTGTTGTCTGATTTATCTTTTTCAGGAATTGTACCTCGCAGCTGTATTTTATAGCACCATTCATTGCGCTGGTATCAACTTGTTGAATTTGCTAATGTATCTAACTCCACTCATGAACTGAATTAATAGTGGTAGATGGGGACAAACTAGAGGTATCTAGCCCCATGTAAAGCAGCGTAGTAAATTGTGGCTCCGGTATTCCTTTCCTAATGGTAAGTTAACTTGTGAGACTATTGGCACCATAAACTCCATTGCTGCCGATCGAGGAAGCCTGTTTCTTATTCATGTGTTGATATCCCATGGCGAAGCTAGAGTTATCGTTCACTTCCCGCGGTGAACAGCAGTGTGGTGTCACTCTAGTGTCACTTCTATTTCCGGAAGAGACCATTTATCTCACGCGTAGAAGTGTAATAAATATCGCTTCCTTTGCGGTCTTGTATGATACGAGTAGATTTATTAGGGGGGGGGCACTTTGGTTGCCACACGCATTTTCACCTCAGGACTTTTGTCCGCAGCCTTGCGTTGCTACTGGAGTCAACCCCAGAGCACCAAGAGCCCCAGCGCGTTGCCCTGTCACGAGAGTTGCAATCTCCGGATGGATCCCTCGCAACACCAAAATAAACACCAACGTTACTCGTCCACCACTACCAAGAATCTCCAATGCCGCCAAAACGAAAGGCCCCGGGCTCCGCGAAGGCATCTTCGGCCAAACGCGCACGTACCGCCGCGGGTACGCAATCGCCAAACAGGCCTGCAATCGGGGACTCCATCGCCGTGCTGCCCCCTGTGCCAGCTACCCCATCCGCATCACGAGAAAATGCGGGTTCCGCTGCAGCTACAGCCGCCGATACCACCGCCAAACGGACACGGAACTCCTCTAAGAAGGATGGTTCTGCCACCCCTGGCAGCGCGAAACTGAGTTCGCGGAGGTCTACCCTCACACCAAGGATTCGGGGCACTCCGCGGAGGAAAAGGGACGATGATGCTGTCGCTGAAGAAGTACTAGAAGGAGAAGGGGGGGCGGGGGAAGATGAGGAAGAACCGGGTGCTGGGCCATCGGCAGAGCCTACCGATAAGCGGACCGATCCCTTTGATGCACCTTCATCCTCGGGAGACGAGCTTTCAAAGGATCAACCACAGGTTCCCAAACCCTCTCTAGGAGCGAAGGCGAAGAGCAGGCGACCGAAGATTACTTATAAGACACGAAAGCCGGTTGTTCAGGTAGATGGTAGCGATGATGAGATTTCTACTACTAGATCTTCGCCTGTTCTTCCTGCCAAGAAAGTTGTTCCGGCTCCTGTTACCCCCGCTACCACTATTAAGCCACGTTCTCGTCCTCCTAGAACTCAGCGAAAGAGAGCTCTGCCCGCTCCGGAGAATCTCGGTGTTGCGCCTGTGGCGCCGATAGGACACGGGTCGGAAGAGGCTACACCGAGTGCTGGGAAGAAGGGAGTGAGAGCTAGTGCTGCAAGAAAGAAAATTCCCCAGCAGACTAAGGAGGACGACATTGAAGAGGAGGAGGAGAAGGAGGAGGTGGGGGATGGGGAGGATGAGGAATCAGATGAGATGGTAGCGCCGCCGGAGGAAGATGTTGATGGAGAACATGAAATTGATGAGGACTTTGTGGCTACCGGTGGAACGATTGTTACCTCTGGGCAATCTGCTAGAGCTTTAAGAAAAGAGGAGAGAGAATCGGCGAAGAAGCGACTATCATTTATGACACCGGCAAAGGAGACTATGGCTACCTTGGTAGGACTAGAGGATCCCTTCGCTTCGGAGCGACCAAAACGTACCCGTGTAGAGATTGTTAGTGAAAATATGGTGGCTTCAGACCCAGCTGCAGACGCTATCCCGGATGCGGACTTGGAACAATTCCCGGTGGAGTCAATCCAGCGATTAAAAAAGAGAGTTATGCCGAAATTAATGGGAAGAAAGCGAACTAAGCTTGTTGGCGTTTTGGATGAGGAAGGGTATGCACGCCGAGCTTGATATCATTTATATCTGCAAGAGATGCTAACTTCCTAATGGACATGTCCGCCACCTACTTAAGCAAACTGTCGCTGCGGGTGAGGGTAATTCGATGTTGATTATTGGGGCGCGAGGCACCGGAAAGACTACAGTAGGATTTTGGACTTGTCTGGCTTGGTGGGCTTAGACTAACACACACTAGCTTCTGGAAAGCGCTATCTCGGATCTTACAGAGGAGCACAAAGGAGAATTCCTTACAGTCCGTCTGAATGGTTTTTTTCAGACGGACGACAAAATTGCCCTTCGGGAAATATGGCGCCAATTGGATGTTGGAATGGAGCTTGATGAGGGAGATCAACCAAAGGTAACTGTTTCCGCTCTTGCCTAGGCCTCTTGCAATCTGACACTTTCCATAGGCTACCAATTTCGCAGATACACTTTCCTCCATCCTCGCTATTCTTTCCCACCCAGATGAGCTCAGAGCACCAGATGGGGAAGCGGAGGAGCCAGCACAAGAGGATCCGTCAAGTACTACTACAACTTTGTCTGTCATCTTTATCCTAGAGGAGTTTGATCTCTTCGCAACTCATCCCCGTCAAACACTTCTATATAACCTCTTTGATATTGCACAATCTCGCAAGGCCCCTATTGCTGCTATTGGCACAACAACACGCATAGACGTTGTCGAGTCTTTAGAGAAACGAGTTAAGAGCCGCTTTAGCCATCGTACCGTCCATCTCAAGAATCCCCCCACCCTGAAGGGTTTTTGGGAAATATGCAAAGAAGGATTAAGTGTGGATATGGACGAGGTTGACTCGGAAATAAATGGCCCATCAGACGAAGATCGGCATTGTTTTGAGGCTTGGAATAGTCATATAGAGGTATTGGTTCCCCACACTTTTTCTTAAACTCCGGGGTACTAACAAATGGGACGTAGAACCTCTATAATAACGATAGGCAATTCCAACGGCACTTGAGACGCATCTACGCCCAGAACAAGGACCCCAAATCGTTCTTTAATAGCTGCATTCTTCCGTTGTCAAGTTCAACCACATCTTTCCCCACTGGCCCCTCCTTCTCATTACCTGCCAATCAACTTGGCGAGCCAGACAGCATCTTATCAATCCTTGATGGTCTCACTGATTTGGAACTAACCCTTCTCATCGCGGCCGCCCGGCTTGATATTATTTCTGATACGGATACGTGCAACTTCCAGATGGCCTATTCGGAGTACACTGCGCTTACGTCGTCCCTAAAGGTAACTAGTTCCGCAACTGGTGTTACGGCAGGTCGTTTGTGGAGCAAAGAGGTCGCCCTAGGGGCGTGGGAACGACTAGCGGAATACGAACTACTCGTACCCGTGGTTATAAGTGGCGGTTCCGGAGGTGGCGTCAGCAGGGAGGGAAGAATGTGGAGGGTTGAAGTTGGTCTCGCGGAGATTGGGAAGTGTCTCGAGATGGGGCGGGCCGGGGTTGGACGCGCGGGGTTGGGCAAGTGGTGCAAGGAGGTGTAGGTTGGTTATCAGACATTTATCTTTTTTTCCCTTCCTATTTTTTTTCTTTTTCGAAATGGAGGGGAGTGTTACTAGCATAAGTTAGACTATTTTTTTATTTTTATTTTACACCGATTTGTATGCATGATGGAGAAAAGTATTGATCCGTTTTCCTTTTTCCCTGCTGTATTTTTCATACCATTGCTTAATATCATCCATTCCGCCTCCCACAAAACCTCTCCTATCTGATCTCATCAAAGTTCATTGTCCCAATTCACGGCGGACCGCATAATGAGCGAGGAGCGGTGACGAACGTCTTGCAGCATTCAGGGGAAGCACCTATTTTCTTTTACGGCGCTGCGAACAATCGATACCATACCGTCAGCCAACCCACGCGAGGTACCTTACAATACCAGAAAACTGTATCTCGCGCTATGGAATCTGATACCGGGCAATGTGATGCTCTTTTTTGCAATTGGCATGGCCCATGCTGCATTATGCTGTTTTATTGCAAGTAGATCTGGATCGCCAGCGGTGGAAGTAGATAGCGGGTGGGTAGGCAAGGCTTAAATGGAGGGTTTGTTACGATGCAGTATCACAACGTGTGTGGAGGATTGCATGCTGGAGGAGGGGTCGAGTCGGATAGGATCCGCAATATTCTTATCCCTAATGTCGGGTGTCGATTTCGTACCGGTATTCGCAGACTTGAATTGGGGTTTCTCCTCCTCGACTTAAGGCTGTGGCTCTTACTGGTGCTCGTACATCTCCATTGTGATCCAAATTGCTTTTTGTATGCTGGAACGGTTAATGGCGCTTGGGAGGCGTACGGCAAATTGCCGTGTTGTACAAGTACCTGTATCGTACCGGTACTTGTCTTGTATCGTGCAGCGCCAGAAGTGGTGGGGGAAGTGTGTAACCACCTTGGCCGCGGGGTTGGGTTGGATGCAGGTATCGGATCTACCGGTATTGCGCTTCCAAGTTTCCAAATAGTCTGGTCCACAGCGTCCCGCCAACGGGTAAAAAAATTAAAGTAGAGGCCTTACGCATTTCCCCTCCACGGCTTCACGTGCCGTGTTGTACTGTATGCCATACACTCGCAAACATTGTTCGGACCCTGCCTATCCCATTGCGAGTGACTCGTTGTGACCAGCTGAGAACTTACAAAAGCAAACATGTCATGACAGGGATACAGGTCCTAGGGAGAGCACAAGTGAGGGAATTTGGTGAGTGTAGCCAGACGAAAGGCCGATCCTAACTCTTTTTTCCTAGGGCGGTAAAAAGCCGGGCGAACCCCCCAATCCTCCAAGGTGTGCTGCTCGCTGAGTGGCCAAAGTGGCCTCGAGCCAATCGCACTCCCTTCGCCTTCCGTACCCTTAACACCCTACACTCTGCTAACCAACACGTGATGGGATAACTCGGCTCTTTCCGGGTGGTCCCAGCAGCACAAGGCTGGAACTCCCCTTGCCGGAGCAGTTCTCGACACCGATTCTAGTGGCAGTACCACTTTCGCACCTGAATTCATCATGAGCTTTCAGAACCTACCGAACGAATTAATTCTGGAAATAGCCCACGGGCTATCTCCACCGGACACAAAGGCCCTCCTAAGGGCAAACCGTCATATGTCCGTCTTACTCCCTCCGGTCCTACTCGAAAACTCAATCTGTTCACCAAAACACGCCCAAGAGGCTCTATTCTCTGTCGCAGCCCGTGGGGACAAGGAAACTGTCCGAAAGCTCTTGGCCAAAGGTATACTCAAATCAATCCGCGGCCATAAGCCCCTTCTTAGCAGGGCAGTGTATAGCCAGAGTGAAGCTTGCGTCCGCACGCTGATAGCCTGCGGAGTGGATCTCGATCCCAACGATCTCGATGGGCTCACCCCATTCGCAGATGCCGTCGTGTCCGCCCGCTTGGATATCATCAAGATCTTTCTCGATATCCCCGAGGTTGACGTTAACTCGCGGTGCCACTATTCCTTGACCCCACTGCATATCACACTCTGCACGGATAAGGACAGCGCTCATGCCGAGGTTTTACGAGTTTTATTGGCCGACGAAAGGGTCAAGGTCGATTTGGTCGACGAATCTTCTTGGACCCCCCTCTCCCGAGCCGCTCATTCCGGAAAAGCTTGGGCAGTGCGAATTCTCCTGGAGGACGGGAGAGCCGATGTCGAACATGTCGATAGGCTAGGCAGGACGCCTTTACATCTTGCGGCAAAACGGGGACACGACGATATTGTAAGGGTGTTGTTAGAATCCGGAGGCGCTGGTGTTAATACCGTGGACGATCATGGAGAGACGCCGCTCTTCACCGCGGCGAGCAGAGGTTATTTATGCGCTGTGAGGGAACTCTTGGCCGACCCGCGAATCGATGTCAACACCTCCGACTCGGACGACTGGTCCCCGCTTTTCGTCGCATGCCTAAAGGGCCACGTACCTATCGTTAAAGTCCTCTTGGGAGATTCGAGAACTCTAGTGAACTACACGGATGGCTATGGGTTCACACCCCTGCAAGCCGCCTCACAGAAGGGCTATTTGAATGTCGTGCGAGAACTGGTCCGGGATCCGAGAGTCAGGGCTAATCACCAGAACCTGGAAGGCCTCACAGCCCTGCATATGGCAGCGAGAGCTGGTTATGAAGAGGTGGTGAACGCGCTATTAGGAATGAAGGAGACAGACGTCGATTTAAAGCCACCGCAGGGCAAGTCCGTGAGGATGTCGGTGCGCACATACCCCGAGAAAGTGCAGCATATTCTGCAAAAATATCTTGCGGGGGTGCAGGTTGGGGTGAAGGTTGGCTGAGGGTCAAATGGCGTGGGGGGGGGGGGGGGGAGGTGGTGGTTCTCGGCCTACTGGAGTTGGAAATGGGGTAGAGTGAGAAGGAGTGATAAAAGAGGAGTAGCTGGCTGGCAGTGCGGGTGGCCTCCACGATATTTGGTTGTTTTTGGAAGTCAATTCTTTTGTACTGTACTCGGTGGGTAATAGAGGCGCGCGGGGTGGTACGGGTAATCTATGAAACTCCAAATGGGATTTCGGGAAACTTGACAAGAGTCCCTAAAAACAAAATTGAACGACCTTCCGACATCTCCCTGGCTCGGAGCCTGCCAAACCCTAAAATACAGGGGGCCAATCAAGGACCGATTACTCCATCAATAAAGACTAAGAGTACCATCGGAAAGCGAAATACTGCAGCGCGCCATTCGAAGCACCCCCTCGTATTAGGGCCGGAGGTGATTCGGAGGTTAGACACCCTATCTAGATATTCCTATGATACGCTTGTGCCCAGCTTAGTCTACTCACAAGCAGGCCGGGTGCCCAACGCCCTGAACGTAACCGTAGCATTATGAAGTGAAAGGTTTGTGTTTCCAGGGGAAAAAAAAGGAGCCAAAGTCATCTTACCCAATAAGCAAGATATCGTGTGACGCTACTGGGGATTCCCAGGGGGGTTGATCGCCCACTCGGGTGGGGCATTCTGTTTTACGGTTTCACTATCTACTCTCCGGTTCATTTCCGCACCTAACTTACAAGCCCAGTGCTGCACCACCACCACCACCACCACCACCACCACCACCACCCTGCCACACAGAACGTCTAAAGCACTCTGGCACTACCTATTGGCCTCTCCATATCTTCGCATCTAAAGGAGAAAATAGCTGGTTAGACGGATACCATCGAGAATGCAATATGATGCCAATATCCTAAGAGAGATTACCAATGAGTATTGAACATGGTTTGTGTCGTGTTTAGGGCTAGATAGACAAGAAGGCAGCTGGTTCCAGGATGGAAATGGAAGGCCCTGTGTCTAAGAAAGCCTCGATCCAGCGCTAGTATTTATGGAGAACTTGTGTCAGCTTACCTGCGCATACCATACCCCCTTCCAGGAAAGCCGAAGATGCACTGATATAAATTTTTTTTCGCAGTTTCACTTGTTCGGCGTACTCTACAGCTGCCAAGCATGGCATCCTTTCGGTCATATATATTCTCCGCGAAATGAGGGAGAACTAGAGACCGTGCAGAGTCCTGGCGGGCCAACGTCAGTGTGGGGATGAAAGGCAGCCTAAAAGAAGGATGCAGTGAATATATACCGCTAAAAGTATGAGTTCTGCACTCTATTCAAATGTTCGGAGAAGCTAGGACAACAACGGTATTAGTACGGCAAAAGCTAAATGTGTATTAGGGAACGAATAGGTAAGCGCTCGAAGGGCCTACACAATACTAAGGTGGGCTGCTGAGTGTTGTCGGGCGCTCGTATACTGATGAGCATAGTGGATACGAGTACTGTAGTCAGCTTGCGTTGTAATGGTGTGTATGTCTCATGACTACCGTACATCGAGCTACAATGGCACCCACTTTTCCTGCATGGTCAGCACTCACCGTCCTAGAGATTTCTGATCACGTTGGCCAATTGGGCGAAGCATACAGTATCATGCGAGTGCGTCGACTTCCTCGACCTCCCTCTTGGGCTCACGTGGGATACAGGGGTGTCAGGTCGAACAAGACTTGGAATCCATCGCGAAAATGGGTCTACGTGTCTCCATGCTGTGATACGCCCCTCTTCAAGAGCGCATATGTCTGCAGAGGGGGCGGGCGGGGTAGGAGGGGTGGGGGTTGGCAGGGATCCTACCCCTGACTTTTTGTATCATATCAAGCCCTGTGTCCTCCTTTGTCCTCATCCTCACCTCTGACAGCATGTGATTATTATTTTTTGCTTTCTCTTGTGGATTAATTATCCCCCCGCAATGGGTACCGAGCCCAGGAGCCTGGAAAGGCCGGGCACGCCCGAACCATGGATGTCGCACCCTCCAGCCGTGGGGCTGCCCTAAGTGCAGTCCCACCCAGACTCATTCTCAAGGTTGAAAGAAAGAGGGAGAGGAACTGGAAATAGATGAAACTAAGAGGAACACCCCCACCAATTCCTCCGATGAGAGTTCACAGCTCGGGGGAATTGTACGGCGGCGACAAGCGTGCTAAACATGTGTCCTTTTCGAATGAGGTATCTCCGGAGGAGGAGGAGGAAGCAACGGGCAGGATAAGACAAGTTACAGACAAGGATAACAAAAATTGCTAATGTCGAGATCTCTGCGTCTCCAGACAGCAGGAATACTAGTGACAGAAAACTGCGGGAGAAGAGAATCCGGAAATGAACCACAGAATACACATCCACGGCATGTTATACGATACGATAACATCCGATGTCTCCTCCATATTTTTCGTTAGGGGGGGTCCTGGTGTTGGGTTCTCCTTTACTCAAACGCTTATTGAATTGTATTTGGTGAGCTGCTCGGCTGTTCCATGAGCGAGGGAGGGGTGAGGGAAGTCAAGAACTTGTCCGTTAGTTCGTTTGGTAAGCAAGTACCGTACTGTACTGTACTGTATAGTTGGGTCGGTACCCGATACGCACATCGGGGACAAATTCGGGAAATTTAAACACTTACGGGTAGGTGGCGTTATAGTGGAAAAAAATATGAAAGCCCTGGGTTGGATAGAATTTGTCGAGTGACGGGCCATGAAGAGGAGTGCGATGAATGCTTGCGTAGCGTCAACACAAGTGGAATGGTAATAATATTATGATAGGTGCTAGGATACCTCCGCGCCCTAGCCCAAATATTGCGGAGTGGAGTTCAAAGAGTGAACCATTTCTTGGACTAATTACCGTTCGATGATTTGAGTATCTACCCTATTATATCTCTAGAGGACAGCATTGCCCGAAGGGGCCCACTCATCTTTACCTATACATCTGCACGCCCCGACCTAAACGCCCAGGTAGCAGAAATACTCCCCTCGCCTATTGATTATTAGATCTTATAAGTGACTACACATGGAAATAAAACTTAAATCTATCTCTATTCTCATTTTCATTTCCATTCCTCATCGCGGGTAAGTTAAAAAAGAAAGAAAGGAAAGGAGAGGAAGGGAAAGGAAAGGAAGGGGGAAGGGGGAAGGGAAAGAAAAGGAAAGAAGAAAAACTACGAGATTCGGCCTCTGTTCACATAATAAAACACCACCAAGGCCAAAACAAAAGAGGGTAAAAAAACCCCCCGTGGAGTGGAAGATTGGATAACGCAAGAACTGGCTCGGTCCCGAGACAACCTGAGCGAGAGAAACCCGCCCCATAATTTCACCCTATGTGTTTTCTTTTTGGGAGACATCGCGGACATTGATGCCCTCTTTTTGTGCCCTTGCCCCTGCTCACCCTCCTCTTCCTCCCCTGCCTGTCCAAACTATAAGGAAATAAATTCACTTCGCCGTTGCCATCGATATTAACACTAACTGGGTTTCCATCATTACAACCCATGACATTACCGAGAAGGGGCGTCTCTGGATAACTGGATACCCTGGTGCTTAAGCATGTCGCCACTGGGGTGGCTATTTGTTGCGGCGCGACCTTGAAATAGACCCCGCTGGATAATTCTTCCACTGCGAACAGGCTGCTTATTCTTCGGGACATTAATAGATGTTATTGCGATCGGGATTTTGGCACTTCTGTCAGGACCGGGGTTGTCGTAAATTGTGTTGTGAGGGCATCTGGGGCTGGGATAACACCTGATTTAGGGAATGAGTTCTATGGTTGAGAGCTAGTGGCTGGGATCGTCTTTGGTTCGGACGAATCGGAGGAAGGAATAGCTGGAAATGTGGCAGCGTCGCCTTCATCGTTAGATGCGAGCTGAGGGGCAGGAGATGAAAATTCATTGACGCTGTTGCTGGGTCCACTCACATTGCCCAAGTTGTTGGAATGTAGAACTGGCGGGCCTCGGAGCGTTAGATCTAGTCCTGCAATCTCTCTAATTGCTGCCCCATACGTATCCCTTCTGCCATCTTCATCAGCCTGGCCGGCGAGCCCACCATCTCCCGGTATGGTTTCTGGGTTTAATCCCATGACCCTACTATCCCGCCTGTTCCTCCTCTCCTCTTCCTCGAGGAGCTCAATTGGTTTATTTTCAGGCAGAGCAGATATCCTCTGAAGAGCGGGAGCGTCTGGCTCATTTGCATCGATGCCGGGTTTTAGTTTGTCCCTCGGGCCCTCCTGGCACGCGTTTCCATGGTGTGTGGTTATGTCCCATGGCACACCAGATACTTCCGGCATGCCTCTACCGGCCTCCGCCTCCGGGATATATTCCTGGGATCCAAACGGCGCCACCACGTTTATTTTTGGAGCAACGGAAAGTGCGTGGGGAGGCGTTGGGACCTTAGCCGGATTATTTGTTTCGGGTGGAGGAGGCCGAAACGGAGAGCCTTCATATCCTAGGAGGTCCGAGGACGGTGAAGACTGTATAATGTTCATATCTCTGAAGTCTTGAAGGGTCCATTCTTGGGTGACATGATTATGTTCGAGATAAGGGGGCGCAGCAGACACTGCAGCACTCACGTCTTCAGAGTGAAGAGAGAAATGAGCAGGCAGACCTCCGGAAGTAACCGCTGTCCCTCTGAGGGGTTCTGAGGGAACAGCCCGTTGACCCAGAGTTTCAATAGGAGAGTAAAGGGTAGCGACCTCAGAGCCAAATATAAAGGGAAGGGACATCCGCTTGCGTGCGGAGTGGACTCTCTTGGTTAAATTGCTTCTAAATCCTGGTTTGGCTGGAGGTGGTTGTTCGGAATTCGTAGAGGCGCCAAGGATTGCTACATGGGGGGCACCCGGGAATATATCGGACCCCCCATCATGAAGAGTGGTAGGTGGAACTGTATCTTCGGTATCATTTCTTTGCTCAGGTCGTAGAAAGCGATTGACTCGAGACTTAGACTTTTTCGAGGGATCCAAGAGACTAGGTCTTCCGGAAGCAAACGGCTGACTTTGGTGATCACTGTCCACCCCGGGTGATTCTCTCCGGGCTGCGATCTTGTCGGAGCACTTAGAGAAAGTCTGGCGCACCCTTGATCGGCTTTGAGCGGGCGGCGATTGAGGGGGGGTTCCCACCGAGCTACCGAAACGACCATCCCGTGTATTTCGAAGAGCAGGATAATGTGTCTCCACTCTGGATGAGGGGTTCCCGCGGTGCAGCGTTTCCTCAGGGTCCGTACGTGCAGGCGATGGGAATCTCACACAACCTATTGATATATCGTGCCCATCCGAATAGGGGTCAGGCCAAGCTTTGGAAGGGCTCCGCTCCCTCTCTAACGCATCTATGTTACTCTGTGCAGACTTCTGACTATCGACACTTTTCCCCCGGGAACCAATTCTCCTCATTGGTATAGCCAAAACCGAGCCAATCCTTGCTCCCCACGCGCTTACCTTCCCATGACCCTTATCACCATCGGTAAGTCCACAATCTGGAAACTGAAAATTTGAAAAATTTCCGAATCCCGGACCCTCAGGGGGGTTGGAATGAGGCTGGCTATCGATATCCAGGCTCTTGATTTGTCTTTGCAATGGATTGCATACTGTCACAGGTGACAGCTCTTTTGGCTTCGCCCCATCCGCCGTTTCCGTAAAATTGGTTTTGTCACACCCGTTGCTGTCCAGGCCCCGCGATGCCTGGATGTCGGGCCAAGGTCTGCTCGGAGTGCTAGGTTCCGAGCTCGGTATAACCTGTGGCCCCCGGGGAATAACCGACTCTTGATCTTTGCACGGATCATTCTGTGAAATCTCTTTATTTTGAGCTGGGTCGTTTACAACATCCGACATGAGAAAAATAGGTATCTCATGCATATAGAATCATCGGGCGGAGAACGTATTTGCTAGAAACGAGCACTCCTTCCTGAACTAACTCTTGTCAGCAGATGATACACACGAGGTGAGAGCGACCTACTCTGAGCCCGGTAGCGGGGGCAATAAAAATAATAATAATAATAATAAAACGCTGCGCAAGATCAGGCTAACAGAGACAGATAAGCGAAAGAGGGGGGGGGGGGGAGAAACCAGATGAGAGAGAGAGAAGGAGAAGACAGGGGCAAGGGAGGATGAACGAGTATAGAGGAGGTGAATGGAACAAGGCTGGGATTTTGCGGGTGTACGTTGGCAAAGTTTGGGTGCGGCGGTAGGTGTGTCAAAACATCCATCGTCGTGATAAATGAACAGGTTGGCTAGAAGGGAGGCGATATACGATACTAAATCAGGGTCCTGGATCACGGATACAGAGATTGGGTAGAGATATTCGTCGGGCTGCGTATAGCAATGTCACACATACCAAACTGGTACTCGTACCAAGTTTGAACACCAGATGGGCCAGCCATTTCCGCTAGTGTCTGCTGAGATTCAGTATTCGGCTGGCTACGTCCAGTTTATTTGGTATTTGTGATGAAGGCGGCACACTTATCAAACAATAGGATTGCACCTGGCGGAGAACTCGGTTTAGGTTGGTGGTGTTCTGTTGTTTGGGGCTGGATCTTCGGATCCCAAGCCCAATGGCCCCTCGGAGTCCTGTTATATGGTCGATCCAAGATTGTGATGAGGGAAGAATGTGCTTTGTTGGTTGATTGTTTGAGATAGGTAGAAAAATGGAGGGAGATGATAGGTATTAAAGGAGGTACACACAAACTCATGGGGGTTGTCGATCAAGCCAAGTGAATCCCCCGTAGTTACTTGTGTACGGTAGTGGAATTCACGTGACAACTGAGAGAACGGCTTTGGATTGATCGCTCCACGATCCAACCAGATTCGTTATGGGCCAAGAAAAAATGGCAGTGCGGGTAGAACTTGGATTGCCTTCTGATGGCGCCGTGCAGTGCCTTCCACCCATGATTCAACTATGCAGCAACGTTGAGGGCGCCAATCGAGTGCAACTTTGCTCTCTGTTCGGCGCAGCACGGTACAGTACAGCAGAGTACTCGTAGAGCGCGGTGGGGAAAACCTGCTCAAGTTGGCGTAAAGAGAACAACCGCCTCCAGATACTCTCCCTAATAGTTCCCGAGCACCGTAAAACGCTGCACACCTGCCTGCCAGGTATAGAATGGTGATAACGGACCCCCCCCCCCCCAATCCACGATCGTTGGGCGAGTTCCCATCTGCCGGTACTTGGGTTACAATGTATGATGCACTATCCACATCCCTATCATACTGCACTTATGCAGCAGTCTGCGCGGGCCCATTGTGGCTGCTTCTTCCAATGCATACTGGAGCAGTATCAATTGGGCGTGCACAACGTAACTCTGGCATCCGTACGATAGTCCAAGGCCCGTGGAGGAACTCTGCACTGCACTGTACCGTTCTGTCCTGTACTGTTCAAGCAACCACCGTGACGTTGTAATTCGTGATCCTTAGAGGGGTATGATACGTATTCTTGGCGGATTGTCTATTCACCCCGAACCCTAACTCTACCTGCTCTCACTCCATTCCCATCTTCTACCTCCCATCAGGATATCATACTTTATCTACGGTACAGGACTTGGGCTACCCCGTCTCCGAAACCATTTCGATATTATCGTTCCGTCATTGGGTGAGCTTCAATCATCCCTCAGACGATCGACACCTAAGCCAGCCGTTGCGACTCCTGACCCCTCTTCTCAACTCCAATCGCTCCAATAACTTACACGTTTTCCATCCGCCCCCATTGCCCGACCGTTATCGGCTCAGGTAAACAGGTCTGTCTTATGGGGAGCAACTGCCGCCACACGATTCACCCCCCGGAAATTCGGAACGACACAGCAATCTACTGAGCTGGAGTAACACGCGCCATCATAACAAACCCTTCGTACCGCACATCTAACTTGTACCATCGCATACTCAAATGCCCCGGTACCGAAAGCTTCCACCCATCTCCCGAACTCCAACACCACCCCCCGATTTTCTTCGACGATTGCGACCCTTCAGCTGCAACCCCTTTGAGCCGGTGGAGGAGGATGGTCAGGATCGAGACGATGGCGATGACGAAGATGTGAATGCCGCGCCAACGAACTTTACTAGTCACTCTTTCCCCTTGATCAAGGGGGGCCGGGAGCCTAAAAAGCAGTATCTGCCGGTTGGGAAACACCCTGCCGGAAGATCGAAACGCCAAAGACTTGAGAAACAACCGCAAATTGAGGAGGACTCACCGGATATCGTCTTAGAAAATGAATCAGTTTTAGAGTGGGATGCTCTTGGGTCAATCTTTGTCGCCGGGGGCTTCTTGATGATGGGTAACGGGTTCGGCGGGAGTGGGGTTGAGGAGGATGAGGCTGGGGAGCCGGATGGTGAGAATTCACCCGGGCCTGGAACTGAGCAGGCCATGAACGATACTCGCTCTGCTGTTACGGGGTCAGGTGGGGAGGATAATATTCAGGGAATGGGAGGAGAGACCATGGGTAGTTTGCAGAGCAGTGAAGCACGTGCTACAGCAAAACCCTCGCAAAGACCCAATGCTCGGCACAGCTACAACATAAACCCCATAGTCAAAGGCCACCCCCTCACTGCTACTCCTTTTGGGCCTAAGGAATCCTCGCAAGTGTTGGATGTTGCTAATTGCAATACTGGAGAGCTGGTTTCCAGTGGAACGGGTACCCATGACAATTGCGGTACTGGTCCCGGTGGCCCCAACCCGACAGCTTCCTCTGCGGAGCCAGCCGGAGATGGTCGAGATTTTAGAGATACCAGGGAACACGCTCAACTTACAGTCCCTCTGCCCCTCGATGATAAAGGGAAGTCAGCCAAGAAAGCCACTAGTCCCACCTCCGCCGAAACTGAAGTCGGCAAACAAACAGTGCGGCCCATGGTAGAATCGGTTGTCCCACCTACGGCTTTGGCCAACAGTGGGCCTCGGGAGTTGCCGAGCGGGAATACTGAACCGAAAAAGAGGGCTGAGGGGGACGAGTGGTTAAAAGGTCTTACCTTTGAAATTCTCGCCCTCCCGGAACGTATTGTTACCAATATTCGGGGGCGGGATTTTTTCGATTCGAGAAGCCACAAACTCTGCTGGGATGAATTAAAGGAGAAAATAGACCAAGGTCTCGGGATTGGGCCCAATTTACGCCATTCTACAGTAATAGTAAACTGGAAGTTTCGGTTAAAAACCCAGGCTGATTTGGATATCTGTATCGAGCGCCTCACACCACATGGCCGTCCGATCCATCACGTCGTCGTCCTGTTTTGCAGCACTGATTCAAGTGCCAGTGCGAACACAGGTGTAAAGATAGACGAAGAATCCATAACAAAACAAGTTGTTGAACTGTTGGAAGCTCAGGACCGCAATTATTGGATGGGAAAGAGTGTTACACCTTCTGTGACAGATCTGGTTCCTGCCAGCAAAGACATTAATGCGGGCGTTGTGTGGGGCAAGCTTCCCGGCGAGGCTCAAGATTCTATTCGACGAAACTTTGGTAACCCTCAACTAGCCCTACTTCGCCCTCCAGCGCCTCTTTCAGAAAACCCTACGACACCCAACCCTACACAGTCCAGCATATTGCACAAGCTCATACCTGGCATACCTATTGCGCCAAAGCCTCCTCTGTGGAGAACACCCAACTCACCTTCAACCTCTCGCTCAGAAACAATCGGGACTGCAGTTGCTGGGACTCAATTACACCCCTCTTCAAGGGCACGCCAAGTTACGCCAGAGCAACTGTCAGGCCAAATTATGGCTCCCGGAAATAAATCGGGCAACAAAGCGGACAACAGTCCCGCGCCACCTAATACAAATGGCGCTCCAACGCCAGCAGCTACTAAGTGGAGATCTAAACCCTCGGCCCGGAATTCATCGCCTCAGGTTTCAGCTAGCTTTCCGCATAATCTAGCGCGCGGCGGGGGTGTTCAAGTTCAGCGGAACACAAGATCGAATTCTAAGGCTACAAAATTGGGTTTATTGGATCAACCCCAAAAGGGATCGGAGGCTTCCGAGCCCTCTGATCAGACATCAGCAGGCGCCGCTTCCGCTAATATTCAAAGGTCTTCGCCCAAGAGGCGCGCTTCGACTGGAAGATCGTCTCGGGCTAAAAAGAGGCTTGCGAAGTCAACCAACCCCGCTGGCAACCCACAAGGTAAGATACTCCCGGATATCCGAAGATTTTTAGTTATCCTAAATTTTATATGGACCGCTTTAACACAATTCTCAAATAGCATTGACTTCTCATGATCAGCAATCTAGCTCGAACGCCTTTAGCGCAAGTATGGGGCCACCCTCTCAGGATCAAGCAAGCATGGCTACCTCTAAAGCCTTGGCGACGGCTTGTGGGCTTGCTGGGGATGATCATTTGGAGCCAAGCTCTGTCAACGATACCATGGACATGGACCCGCCCACAACTAATAGCGCGAAGGTTGGCGCGCAAGACGCAGAGCCCAATGATCTCTCTATAAACGAGGGAAATGCTATGGATAAGGCGAACGCAGGAAACGCAGTATATGCGATGGACGAAGTAGACATCCTTCTTAAAGCCGTTATGGACGTTTACAATTCTACAGAGAAACAATCCGTTCCTCAATCTATGAAATCTCTTACACCCTCTGCGGATCGGCCAGGAGAAGGCGATTCGGCCAATCGAGGAAATGCGCCTGCCGTTCTTGTTAAAACAGCCCTGCCCAATGGGACTGAGGGTGGAATTAGCGCCCGTGGTAGCAAGAGTTTAATCGTCGGTCCCACACCTGTAGAGGCTCCATCCAGTCCACCTCCTAGTCAGTCCCCTGCGCCCGTGGTTGGTGAGCCCAGGCCAGAGATTAGGACAGACAAAGGAGCCGGACCTGCTACAACTACAAAACCTCAGTCCTCAGCCTTAAGAAGTAGTGAGGGCAGCGGCGTTATCACGGGAAAAAGGAGTTTAATCGTCAAACTGAAGACTAAAGGAACTGCTGTGCCTTTTCCGCCTATCACCAACAGTGATGCAACGAACCGACCACATGAGACTCCGGACCAAGGTCCTGATCAAGCCCCAGATCACCCCCCAAACCAACCAAAGCCGAAGCCTGTCTGGCCAGTCCCCCCGCCTCCGCTTTCGGCATCCCCTCCAGCCATGAAAGTTCCGCCGGCCCCTCGCCCACCTATTTATCGCAAACCAGATCCCCCGGTCTCGAAACCTACAGAAAGCGCTAAAGCCGCAGTCAACGATAAACCTCGGGCATCTGAGCAAGCTATTCCAACAGCTACCCCAAGCCCGAAACCTGGATCGCTCAGTAAAAATCCGTCACCTGAGCCTTCAGGATCCCTAGTCGCTGGGTCAGATGCTTTAGCAGCCGCACGGAAGAAGATAGAGCAGGAAAAGGGTTTAAAGAGCAAAACAAAAAATGCTACAAGTAACGCACTTCCCACGCCTATTCTGCCGCCGAGGTATCAAGACACTCGTACTCAATCGCTACAATCGCAGCCACCGGAGACTAGTTCAGCCCGGCCATCACTTCGGCCATCGACCCCCTGCACTAATTCGCAATTTGCCGTTCATAAACCAGCCTCTTATACAAGACCCTCTCCGAGCTCTGATACAAAGAGTGCTAGCACTTCAGGCGTTACGAAATCTAGTCTGCATAGAGAGGCCGTTCCGCTTCCCCGTGCTGTTCCTGGGCCGCCCGATATGCCTGCCCCAACCCTGACAATACCTCCTCCCCCACCGACAAGTATGGCCATCTCACCTTCCGGGAACACGGACAACATTCGCTGGATCCAGGGGAAAGCAAAGGACGCTACTGTAAATGCCGTGGCTTCGCCCCCCTTCCACAAAGCCACAAAATCTGCCCCGGAAGAGCCCTGCTTAAAGTTTACACCCTTGGTTTCCAAGTCGAATTTTCTGTACTTTGAGCCTCCGGCCGTTAGAAAGTCACCCGGCGGTAAGTTGACGGAAAATCCACCCCCACCTCTCCTCTCATGATTATTAATTCCCGACCAAACCAGACTCCCACGAAAAGCAACCAACCACTCAGGATCTCGTCCCACTATTCGACTCACCCTCCACAAACCCGTCCGACACTAAGCCCAAACCCGAACGCATGGTTTTTACCGTAGCCCGCTACAAAAACAACGCCACCACCCCGCCCCACTCCGCCGAGTTCTACGGGCACGAGATCCTATTGACAGGCGAATCCAACAAGTTCTCCTGGGAGAAACTTCGCGGAATTCTGGAGTCACGCCATAAATTCGTCGACTTCAAGGAATGCCTCGTTATCAACCTTTTCCATGTCGTGGAGAGCGAGAAGGATTTGAATGAGGGTTTAAATCTAGGGGTTTACCTCAACATCAATGATGTTCTTATTGTTAAGGTTGATCCATTAGGGAGATTGCCGCCGCCATTAGTTGCTGAGATGAAAGCCGCCAGATTGGCAGCAAGGAAGGCTGGGAAGGAGACTGAGTAGTTGCTTGAAAGGCTGGAGGGTGCTGTCTTGCTTGCCTTGTTCTAGCCTATTTTCATTTAAATCCGATAATTTCATTCTGTCGTCTTCAGATACCTCGGGGATTCTTCCCATTTTCTTCCTCCCTCCCTTCCCTCAGTATTTTTTCTTCCCATCACTCCAGTCCAATTATTCCTAATCTTTCCTCTCCTTCCTTCGATCTCGTTTCTTTCATCTCTCTGGGCATCTTCATGGCATTTAGACAGGAGCGGCATGGCGTGCGTGGGGGTTTTTTGTTCACTTGCTTTTCATATTTGCTTACGAGGTCGATGGCAAGGTGTTGTATCCACACATTACATACAATATTCCTATGTATTATTATGGCTTTTTTTCTTCCTTTTACGCCGGTTTTACGGGATACCCATCGACATATACTTTAGCCCCGTATCCTGGATCTGGGTACTTTTTTGCTGTTAAGCGTTTTGGCGGATATCACGTCTTTGGGTATGAGAGCTTCTTTGGTACCATATCACACCGTTGGTGTATCGAGTGAGTCTGTGACGTCGCCTTGGGGGCGCAGGCTGGCGAGAGTAGAGAGTCAAGTGCGCGGATGCCGTGATAGCTAGTGGAATAAAAATCCGTTGGGTTGGAGCGATAGGGTTGGGCTTCAGAACGAGTTACTCGTTGACAGCTGCGTTGGTTTGTGATTGTATCTAGTGTGCCACAATGGAGAGAACCTATCCCACCCTCGAAAGTGTGCTCTGTGAGACAAACCCTCGCTCACTTTTGTGAGGGGGTTAGAACCGCGAGTGAGATTTTGTGAATCGTGCTCAAGACGAGTGCGTTAGTATCGTCTATTGTTTAGTATACTACGATATAGTATGATGCTGTATTACGCATTATCCCCAGGTGCTCTCCACTATCACAGACAGCTAGCGCTTCACGTAAATGGATATAAAAAAGGGTAGTATGTACGATACAGCACGGTAATTATGTTTCTCTTGTGAGAGGAACCCCCCCCGCCAATAACTCTCCCCAACCCACAATGCCATGGATTACAAACACCACCCATCTAGAAATCATCATCATCCATCCCAAGACTAGTCCCACCCCTATACCTGCCCTCTTCCTCTTCTTCCTCCTCCCTGTTCCTTCTCGCCTCCTCCCGACTCGCTCCAATCTTTCTAAGTCCGTCCACAACACTCTTCGCAAACCCGCGCACCTCCGTAATCTCCAGCAGTCCCAGATTATTCATCTGCAAATAGGTCGCCTCCAATTTCCCCAACCCCTCCCTGACCTTCCCCTGCCTCACCTCTCTTAAACCCCTCAGCAGTACGCGCAGCTCGCCGTCATCGCCGCCGAGGTCGTCGGGGCAGGCCTCCAGAAGGAGTTCGGCAGTTTCGAGCCAGCGGTAGGGAAGGTCGGGACAGAAGAGATTTTGGTTTTCGGTTTCGATCTTGAGAATTCGTTCGATGTTCGGCGCCGAGAGCCAGGGGGGCGGAACGATGTTGCAACGGCGTTGGCGTTTTAGGAGGAGAGCGAGCCAAAGGGGGATTGTGGTGCGTTGGGGAGGGTGGAAGGGGGGGATGTACCCCTGGGCGCTCAGTTAATATATTGCCGGATAGAAACGCGGAGGAGGGGGAAACGAACACCGATGAGGTCGAGCCCGTCAAGACGTTGTCGGGGGATAATAGTTATCGATTGAGCTTCGCAGAGAAAAGCTACCTCCGCCGGTGTCAGCGGCCCACTAGCGAAATGGTTGCCGCCGTTCATTATTATATCGAGCTAACGAGCTAATAGAGGTAGGCAAGTGTCATATGAGCGAAGCAAAATGAAGTAAAGCAAAATTGTTCCTTACGAAGCATCGCATATCTCGCTGCACTCGAAGGAGGAGCGCTCAGGGTTGGGGTTTCTTTCCTTCGGTCAGGAAAGGAAAGGGTTGTTCCGGCCAGTTGTCAGTTACCCTGTCCAATCAATTGCGCCAAAGAAAGGAAAAAGGTTTATCCAAAAATGTATCACAAATCCACCCTCTCTTTCCCCTACAACATAAAGTCCTCCGTTTCCTGGACGATAGCATAATAGAACGGGAACGGGAAAATGTATCACATCCTGGCACCAGGTATCTCTGCCCTACTTGTTGGTACAGCAATTGTATCTACATATATCAATTACGTTGTTCCAGAGCCATACCTCGTTCGTACCCCCCCCCCCCGCTCTCTCGTTCTCAATATCGGACTACCGAAAAAGAATAGAAGAGACTAATTCGCAACGAACAACGCACAGGACGAAGCCTTCCATATCCCCCAAGCACAGGCCTACTGCCGCAACGCCTTCAAGACTTGGGATCCAAAACTAACCACCCCGGCAGGCCTCTACATAACAACCTACCCACTCTCCTACGTCGCAGAATGCACCCCTGCGCTCCTCCGTTCTGTGAACGCGTGGGGCATCGCGGTCCTCATCCCCATACTCGTCTACAATATCCTGGGCTACATACACCCTCGCAAGCAGCGGTCGGAAGCCGTTCATGAGGCTATTAACGTCGCGTTGTTCCCACTCCTGTGGTTTTTTTCAGGATTGTTTTACACAGACGTTTATTCTACGGTTTGGGTGCTTTGGAGTTACCTTGCGTGGCTGAGGGGCTGCGTGGGTTACAGCTCTGTCACGGCTTGGTGGGCGCTATGGTTTCGGCAGACGAATGTACTGTGGACAGGGTTTTTTATTGTGTTGGAGGTTGGGAGACGGATTAAGAGTGTGCACGAAAAGCTTGTGGATGGTGAGGGGAAAGCGGTGACTGGGAAGACGGTTGCGGCCAGTAGTCGGAAGACTACGGGGAAAAAAAAGAAGGGGAAGAAGAGGAGGGGGAGAGTCGAGATGGAGGAGAAGAAGGTGGGGGAGGTCCCTGAGGCTAGTCTTGAGGCGGAGGTGGAGGATGGGCCGTGGACAATCGATATCAAGAGTAACGGGAATGTGAAGGGGAGAGGTGTCAAGAATGACGGGTATTGGAGGAAGCTTTTGGAAGTGATGAGGAAGGTTGAACCTTGGAATCCGGTCTTTAACGAAGAAGTCACTGCTCAAGGTATCCCTCCATCCATGAATGCCCCATTTCTCCCGGCTAACTCACCGCCCAGACTTCTTCTTCCGAACCCCGATAACCCACCTGTTGTCCATAATCCCCAACACCCCAGCTGTAATCTTCCCCACCTTCCCATACCTCCTGGTTATTATCTCCTTTGCTGCCTTCATTATCTGGAACGACTTTTCCATAGTCCTCGGCGACAAATCTGCCCATCAACCAACCCTCCACCTCCCACAAATCTTCTATTTCACCCTCTTCACCACCATGGCATCCCTTCCACTCCTCCTCTCCCCGAATCTCCTCTACCACTTTTACGACCAGAACATCGGGATATACATCACCACCCCGCCATCCTCCTCCCGCGCGCGCAAAACCCCCAAACTAACCATCCCCCACACAAAACTCCTCCGCACAATTACTCTGCTTACCATAATCCTCGCAATAATTTGGAGAAACACATATTTCCATCCCTATCTCCTCGCCGACAACCGGCACTACGTCTTCTACATCTTCCGTCGAACACTCCTCGCTCACCCGCTCATCCGCTACCTTGCCGCGCCAGTATACTTCGCAAGCACCTGGACAGTCCTGCACACGCTCAGGACCAGTCGCAGTGTGAACGTGTTATGGGTATACGCCTGGGCGATGGCGGTCGCTGGCACATTGGTGACGGCGGGATTAGTAGAGTTCAGGTATTTCGTGCTCGGGTGGGTGATCTGGAGGGTTAACATTCACGTCGAGTGTGCGTGGAGGAGGTGGGCCGAGACTGTCGGGTTTGTTTTCGTGAATTTGGCGACAGTGTATGTGTTTACGCAGTGGGGGTTTGAGTGGAAGCAGGAGAGGGGGGTTGTTCAGAGGTTTATGTGGTAGCTTGTGGGGTGTGTCTGGGGGGAGTCCCGGCATCCGTTTGAGACCTGGCGTCACTCGAATTTGATCTTTGGTTTCTGATTTTTTCTAAGTTAGCTAGCTAGCTATATAGCTAAGAGGAGAGGGGGGGGAAGATTGAATATACCCAGTGGGCTACCTAGCTGCTTGAAGAGATGCCTAGGAATGTTCGCGAACGCTTTCCCTTATAGGTGCAGTACTAGTAGAAGGCCTGGGCTTATGAAATCAAACAACTGGCTAGGAACATGAAATGTGGAGATTATTTCCTCAAGAATACACAAGTCACACAAGGCGGGAATCATATTACTAGGTGTTATTTTTGAGTTAAGTAATAGCTGATGGGATGGGATATATCACACGCAAGTGATTATATCCACAAGACTTTAGTCGAGGCGATCCAGGGGGAAACACCTGAGCAAAGTGACAATCAGAGAGATTGACCACGTTCCAAGAGCGCTAGCCTTAGAGATGAAAATAGGAAGGGGAAACGTAAAATAAGTTGATGGTAAAACCCTCACCCATGATACTACACTATTCATGCCCTACCCTAGTAATCCAACTGAATGCCGATCCTTTGCGAAATTGAAGGTGCGGACTAGGCAGCCTAAGCCCGAGCCAGCCATCCTTACATACCCTCCAATGAAAACAGCGGCTCACATTACATTACCAAACACTCCTAACCCAACGCATAAAAGACTATTACGTAAACACCGTAATAGCGTGATAGCATCACGACTGCCGAATATCGCGTTTAGAATAATGGAGCTCAAGAAAACATAAAGTAGATAATAGGGCTTTATTTCCCAATGACGTGTGGATAGCCAAGTGTAAAATACAAGATGGGGGAAGCTAATCGGTTGGCTTTGGTTTCTGGAGGGGGTGTGGGAGGTGGTGGGCTCTGGATATACCTGGTACACCATACTGTGCGTGTAGAAAGATATAGAATATCTTCATGTGGCAAAAAGCGTTGGTATAGCTTGGTGTACGGAGCAGGATATTTGTTAAATGCGAGTCATTTGCCTAGACTTGTGCTGAACTAACCAGTGCAACTTTACTATGGATAGGCTTCCCTAGGGGGCTCCGGGGCTTATGATAAGAGCATTTTCCCTAGGAGGAAGTGGTGCGGTGACGGCACAGATGCGGAATCAATGCAAGTGCTGTGTAAGGATAGTAATTGATGAATGTTGAAGCCATTATTCAGACGATCCTCCTTCGTACCAGATTCATCAAGTGGTGGATTTGGAAGCACGACTCAGTCTAGAGGTGTACTGTTTTGCTTACCACCCACACTAGCTCTGTTCCAACATCACGGTGTCTGGAGGCCTTCACTACTACGCCTTATCGTTTTACAGCTCCTGTATTTGCTATCCACCAGTTATAAATCAAGCCACCCTGATACCGCCCCTCTCATACCATAACCACACAGTAATGAACGATCCCTATATCATACCTCGAGTGATTTTTTATGAACGCCTCCTTGCTACCTCGCAAAGTACAATTATAAAAGCAATTACCTGCGGAACCTGGACGCAGTTTACATGGCTTCACACACTACCATGACTGCTAGCCTACGGCGCCGGAACCCGGAGAAATTGTGAGGGGATCCCAACGCTAGTTGGATGCACCGTATGGCTGTCCAGCAGGAGCGCTCCACGAAAGAGGGCAGCAGAGTACGGGCGTGCGAGACGGGCAACAGGGGGCAGGGTGAAGGGTGTGGAGTATACCGGTACGTACTGTAGTTTCCCGAATGATCGGCGGTCTAGGAAAATATTTTGCTATTCGGGGTATCCTGGCAGAGACCCGGGACGCCTTCTGTTGCCCGCACACAAAAAAAGAGCTGCCGACGGAGGAGGAGCACAGAGAAAGCTCATAAGAAAAATTTCTCCTTATGAGAATGAGATAATTGATAAATTTAACGTGGTTAACTTAGTGGATTGGCTATACCTGTTCCGCCTGGGGTTTTCTACCACTGCACATATTCCCAGAAGCCTTAAGCAAGGGTCTGGTTCTTGACATTCCTTTTGATGATAGCGGCCGTATTTTTACCTTTTACGTTGTTGTGAGGTGGAGTGTAGACCGTGTCGGAGGCCGAGGCGGGATGATCGTTAATACCAACAGAAGAGAGAGAAAGCTATCTAAGTATGATAGGAAAACATATATGCCAAGCACGCAAAACAGGACTGCCCTGAACCCAACCAAGCCAAACCCCATACATGACCTAAGTGTGAGTATCCGTATCTCCCTACATAGCCAACAACCCGTGAGTGGCACTGTCATTGTGTCTCGTCCCCGGATAATCTAAGCATGGGGGATAACTGTTATCATTGTCTCCTTTCTCCTCTCTACAAAGCTATGAGCGCATTGAAAAGGATTCTGGCTTGGCTAGTTACAGAAGAGAATTTATCTGAGGTATCAATAGAAGATAACTTACCCCACATTACCCCCCTCCCATGCACATAAATCCCTTTCTAATAAGTACTGAATTATGAAAGACAATGGCCTCCGCATTAGATATCTAACCACGTATTTAACCCTCTCCCCCCCCCCCCCCTCCCCCTTTCATCTATCCCTGACCAATTCCTCCTGCGAAGAATGGGCACCTCATGATAGCCAGATGGGATAGAAGAAAGAGAGAAAGAGGGGGAATATGAGAGCAAAAACGCAATTAACTAGCACCAAAGAAGGCTTGTTCCAAGTCCTCCTTATTGAAGACTAGCGGCGGGCTTATGGCGAAGATCCAGGACGGACATAACGTCAATGAGGCGGATAGGAGGGAGTAAAGTAAATTGTTTTCACCTCTCTCAATGCCCCGAGATCATATCTAAGATATTTAATTGAACTTTTATATCTCTACAAAGCGCTTAGAAGGGAGAAAGTGTATTCCTTTCCAGCCCCTTCTTTCCATCACAAAATAATGCCGGCTGAGGAACCTGCCACTACTAACATTTGTAGTGAATTTTGGGGCTCTCTGGGGGGCGGATGTACCAGAGACTCATTGGAAAAACAGCAAGCCCCGGAGAACCCCCCACCTTTTGGGATTGGGATTGCCGAGATTTTTCCCCCAATATGGCTACTGAATTCCGGGGCTGTTTCATCAATAACGGCCGAGTATAGCATGGACGGAAATGCTCTCACCCACTTTGGTTTTTTGCTGTCGATATCCATCCACAGCGGACTAGGTCACAGATGCTGGCACCGCAATAAGTGATGCTAAATGCCCTCGAAATTGGAAGCCTGACACATTCCTTTGACATAGAAGAACCCGGAAAAAAGTTCAGTGAATCATACCAGGAATTGAAAGAAAACTCCAAGAACAGGCTTCGATAACCTCAGGTATCCGTACTGACACAGCATCTCGATATGCACAGCAACACAGAATAGGTTAGAAGCAGTACTAAGGAAACTGTTCAGTAGAAAGTAGTCCCTTGATGCAAACTTATCGCAAGTATCCAAAACACCCTATATAAGGGAGAGATCCACTAGGCATTTCAAGAGAGCTATTAAAAACATAGCTAATCACTCGTGCATGTCAGTAGCACGAGTTCTAATGCAGTAATACTGTAGCACTCTTAGGCTGTGGATACAAGGATCCCTTTAGGGCCCGTTTGGATACGACCGTTCTCCGTACAAACGACCGTTACTTTCCGTTATGAATATTCTAAGACAACCATTTCTCCAGGTAAAATCATCACGAAACGGAGCGGCCGACCCACCTACTGTTCCAGCCAAACAGGCCCCTAAGCTCTCGAATTCTTAGCTTGTGTCTTTTTTTATTTCCTATCAGAGTTCTGGCCATGACCTAGAGGTTTATTCTCTTTCCCCCAGTCATAAATATATTTATTCCTATTCCTCTTGTTCGTTTCCCTAATCTTTTACTCAGGTTTCGTCAACGGCGGTGTCCGGGGAAACAAAAAATCTGCCATATCACATTTACAAAGGGCTGATCCATATCCCTACTGTCGTCTGCTATCCGAAAAATTCTCTACGGAGCAACCATCATCGAGTTCCCCCACCGCTCCCCCTCCGTGAGCTATCTTTTATTGCTTCACCGACCGCCCTACTGGCGCTGAGTGATCTAGCAGTGGGTCATTTATGTTATCCCATCCCACATATTATCACTCGTCTACCAAGTGACGACGCAATGATAAAATATCGAACAATGGTAGCCCATGATGCCTTCTGCACTCTCCATCGACTCCCAAATTGGTTACTGCCGGACCTGAGATCCCGCAACCCTCACAAGCACCGATCGGTATTCCGTGTTCCTTAAAGGCAGTGGCAACAATTACCCACATGACAGCCTAACGGTTAGATGATCTCGGAGTTTAGACCGATAGCCGCGATTCCCCGATCCACTTGTATTACCCATCGCTCGCGAGAGCATTGCGAAGACCCCAATTTGGACCCCATCCTAAATCTTATATTAAGAATATTGTAAGCTAATTACCATTCAAAGATCAACAAACTGTAGGCGAAGGGCCCGTAGTAGAATGCTCCGACGCTGAAGAGATAAGTGTGGTGACACAGCTCATTACCACCGGTGAATTTTGCACCAAAAATATCATCCCTTTGCCACTCTAGAAGACAACGACGTACCATTCAATTATGACAAAATCCTGCATTCATCGTGGGAAACATATTGAAACCCCGGGCGTTCTTGAGGCAGAATGGAGTTGTGTGCGAACGCCTGGAATCGTCGGTCTTCCTAAGCACCTTGCTCCATGGGGGAATACGAATTTCTGTTTCTTACCGTGAAATTTTGAGCCCCTCACCATAGGATTGCGCTCACCACACAAACCCCAGCATAATCGACAAAATAGAGTCTAGATATTGAACCCTCAGCTTCTCGGCTTCTTATAAACATGTCCATATAATAGGGTAATTCACTAGAGGGCCTACGCGGAAAGTGCAACACCAAAACGGCCGTTTTCCCTTTTCAGCATTTTTGGTAGGGTTCTACAGTGTTGCTACCGGATATAGCACCACACTGTACAGCAACAGATTGATGCTGGACGATGTCCAGGAGCTTTGGCCCAGCAAGCTATATCTCTCCTCACATCTACTAGGCACAATACCTCTCAACTGCCTAAGTCAGTCGGGCCACACCGCACGCATTCCATCACCCTGATCACATCAGCCCATTCCCCACTATAGAAGAATCTACTGAAACTTAGGCTAATATCCCCAACCCCACGAGGGCTCCCATTTTATCCTACCGACCACACAACCCCCACCTGCCTTCCAATGCTGGTGATACCATACGGTAATAGAAAAGAAGAACCCCCGAATTCCCGAATACGCAGACCCAACAAACAATTTCGGCAGAGTCCCCGCACCATCCCCCTTTCCGAACCCTTCCATCCCGCAACCGCTCAACGTGGGCAAT